TTATTGACTCAATAAGAGCAGAATCTATTTCAATGATAAGCGCTTTAAAATCTAAGAAGAGGTTGAAAAACTTTGTATTTAGTGTAAGGCAACATAATGGGTATAGGAGGAAATCAATGCCTCAATATCAAATTAATTCTTATATGACTGCCTGATCTACTAGATTTACTAATTTTACCACTTCCCCTCCTAGCTCAATTAAGTTAATTTCATACTTGGTAATTTCAAGCTTAAATAACATCTTAAAGAAAAGACCACCCTCAGAATTCTTAAGTTTTAATACTCATAATTTTGTATCAGTTTGAATGCATGCTATTGTTGCTTGAATGGCTTCATATATAGCATTGTGAGTGAATTTTTCTTTTATACTATATATATCAATTAGATCATTTTAAACGAAGTGATTATTAGGATCTGATATTCTGAAACAGTCTAGTTTTCTAGGGCTCAAAAGCTTCTTTTCTCGATCTAAAACAGTTTTATTAATAGTAAGTTTTTTCGAAAAATTTCATGTTTCAGGTTCCCGATCCTGATTGGCATAGTAGCAATAAAATTTATATGTTTTATTTTTCGTATAATATAGGTATTTTCACTACTATGCTCTCAATCACATAATGGACAGTGTGATAAGAAGTTGCGAGTTTATAGGAACAAATCTGAAATGTTATCTGAAAGAGATGAGAGAGTATACCCTTCGACACAATTATCTCTGAGTAACGTTTCACAAAATCAAATTCTGCCTGAGTCATTTTACTATTAGTATTATTACACCCTTTAATTTCTAATACTAGAATAACTAAGAAAGAACTTTTTGCGATTTTTGATTAATTATTGAGCAGGCGAATCATGAAGTCAAAAATGGTTTCATCTTTTAGATGCATTGCTTTTTTCACACGAGTGTGCTCCTTTATTTTTTCATTGTACTTGAGTGAATTAAGTATTCGCAGGGAAAATGAACATTTATTCGTAATATTATCTATAATACTATTTTTCTGAAGAGATGTTGAAAGTTTCTTATAAACAAGCTTAGTGAATACTGTGACTTGAGCGATGTTTTTAAGTCTCATATCAGTAGTAGAGATGTGAAGAGATATTTTTTTCATGTCACTACTACTTGCAACAGTAGTACTATTTCTATTTCATTCTGAGAATACTTTAAGACAGATATCTCTAAAAACACATTTAATTATATCTAGAATCTCTTTACGCGTAAGCTTAGGTTCAATGATATTATATACATCTACTGGTAAAATAAAGTTGATGATAAGACAAAGTGGCTCATTACTATTAATAAATTCATGTAAAAAGTGTCCTTCACAATCTGAGAGTATAGCTTCTATTTCATTCTCATTGTTCGCACTAAGAAAATTTCTCAGTCTAACATTATTGTCACGAATTTTATATAGGTATTGACCTATATATTCAGCTTTAAACTCACAATAGAATAGGGTGAACACGTCTAAGAACTCTGAAAGCTTAGAATAGGTTATTTTTAGATAATTTTTGAAAGCTATACAATATTCTAAACTCAGAATATACTGTTCTGAGAAAAAAGTTTAAATAAAAAATAAATATAAAAATATAAGAAATATCCAATAAGAGCTGAATTATTTGCCAATATCTTTCTAACGAAGGGAATATATGCGGATGAGCTTATAACTGACAAGAAAGATGCAAAATTTATTAGAAAATATGTCAATAAAACCCTTACAAATAATGTGAAAACCCAACTGTCTCAACCTATAGTATGTGTAATTTACATGTAGATAAGTATTATTTGAAAATATATTACCATAGGAAGAAGTTAAATGCCTTAGAAAAATTTGCCTTAGAAAGTTTTTGACTTTCAAAGATAAGAGAAAAATAGTAAATTTTCATTTTTAGAACGAAAGAAACATTTTTTAGACAGTCTGCCCTAGATGCTATAGGTGACCTAAAAAATTTCAGATTTCTTTACTTTTTATTTTTATTTTTTATATATAAGTATATTAGTATATATCATATATATATCATATACATATATAATACATATTTCATACATAAAAAAATTTTAATTTTTATCCCTAGAATTTTATTTTTATTAGGACACCTAGAGAACCTAGGAAAGATAATACAAGAATAAGTTAAATTGAGAAAAGAACACTTTCTCCTATAACAAAATCTGTCTTAAGAAGTAGTCTAGTAAAATTTCTGTCTTAGAACACTCAAAAAAATAGCCAAATAATCTACCAGTTTCACAACAGTTCTATGATACTACTACAGCACTATCATGACACTGAACTGTATCCTCAAATCATGTATCCTAAAGATCAGTTGAAATTATGGCATAGTGTCAGCCAAAATTAATCGCAAATTTACTGCATCACCTGTCATCTTTTTTTACACTACTTTGATCCAGCTAGAAAGTGACATCTGATACTTTATTGCAATTTTATGATAATATGTACATGTATCATCTGAAGTTGTCTCTATTCAGAGTATTATATTAGATGTGAAGCCTCTTCTCAGCTTTTTCTTGCCTATCGCAAAATGCTTTATCAAAGCAAAATTTCTTATTTCTTTTTCTCATAATAATTCTGCTTTGGTAGATCACTAATTTTTTAGTAGGTTGACAAAAGAAATAGAAATAAACATATTCATAATAGATGATATTTAGAGGATAAATGAGTCAGCCACAATAATACATATTGTATCTTCAACCTCAGATGCAAAATTGGCCTGAATTATGCTATAGTGTCAGCCAAATTTAGACGTGAATTTACATTGAATTACTGTGTTACTAGACAGGATTTTTTTATCACAATTTGGAATATTAATAGGCAATTAAACAAATGCAAAGAGTAAGTACTTTAATATAGAATCTAGCATCTAATCAGATATAGAAGATCAACACCTTAACATAAAATCAGGTATCTAAACAACTACAGAAGGTCAATAACTTCATTATAGAATTTAGTATGTAAATGACTCAGAAATAAGAAAAAAAGCGTAGTATTTAGATTATATGTATATGAAAATTAGATTATATTGTAATGATAAAAAATATATTAACATAAAAAACACAAATATCAAGAAAGACTTAAAGATATAGCTAGAACATAAAAGAGATATAAAAAAAAATAATAAAAGTGTTAGATTATATATGGTATTTAGATCACAACATTTAAATTATATATGGCAATTAGATCATATTATTTAAATTATATATAATATTATAATTTAGGGTAAGTGGGATATCACATGTAATATAATTTATATTACATGTGGTATCTTATTATATCAAAGGTTAGAAAATTTTCATATATTAAACTAAAGTATCATCTAATTAAATATTATTTATAAAATCAATATAATAAATTAAATTTATATAAGAGAAGTATTTATAATATAAATTATATAATTAAATTTATTTAAAAGTAATTTAAAAATTTAAATATTATATTAATAGTTTTTTATAATATATTGTATATTTTTAAAAAAACTTTAATAAAATTTATATTTTTTAACTAATTTTAATACTTATTATTTAAAAAATTAAAAAATTATTTTATTTTAAATAATTATTAATTTTTTATATTTTATATTTTATATTTTATTTAAGATAATAATATTTATTATGTAATATTTTAGAAAATGAAGGAGTAATTAAAAAATCTTAATATATATAGTGTAATATAAGATTATTATAAGATAAAATGTAGATGTATAAGCTTATAGTAAATGAATATTACATAATAAATGATACTGTCCTTATTTATAACTTTTTTTATAAATTTTATTATTTATTTAAAAAAGATTATTTAGATTATTATGTTTTATTTATTCATAATTTTTATTATAAATTAAATATAATATTAAAAGAATTATTAATATTAATAAAATAATTAAATAAATTCTTTAATTAGTATTTTTAATATTTATTGATTATATTATTATAAACTATAAAATTAGTAAATTAAAGATAATTTATATATAATAAATAATAATAAATTAAGAATGTATCTAATTTAAATTACAAAAAATATCTTGCTATTTATCCATTTAATAATTGAATTGATGTTAATTAGCTTTTATAATTGCACAAAAGTTTAGATAAAGTAAATACCAGTATAAATTTATTAAGATCATTTTAAACTTAACAATGATTTTCCATTTTCTAGTAATAAGCATTTTATAGTAAAACAAAGAAAATTTCAAAAAAAATTTTAAATTATATGGGTTGATTGCTAGGAAAATCAGGTTCCGGGAATTTTTTAGCAAAATTGAGATTTTTATTGCATTTTAGTTTTTGATGTTATTAGATTAAAATGTATTAAGCTCTTTATTTTAGTCAAAAATTTCTCGGAACCTGATTTTCCTAGAAACACTCCCATATTATTTACTAAAAAAAAATATAATAGTTTATAAAATAAAATTATAATTTTTTTATTTTTTACTATAAAGTATCTGTAATTACCAAATACTAAATTAAATTTTATTTGAATTTTTATTTAAAACTTTCTAGATTTGTATATAAATAATTTATTAAAATTATGATTTATAGAATTTTTATTAAGTCAAAATTTTTTTACTTAGAACCAAAAAAAATATTTTATTGTTATGCATTTAAATATACGATTTAAAAACCGATATCCACGTGATTTAATTTACCAATCCCAGACCCATGTATAAATAAAAATTTTTTAAAATACTTATCACGTGATATTTACAGAAAGGACACACTTTTTATAATTTTAAAAAAATTGCATTTAGAAATAAGCTCAATAATCAACGTTTTATAAAATCAATAAAATAATAATTTTATTTGAAATAATGCAAAAATGTCAAAATTTTGTAATGTTCATTTTTTTTTTTTCATCAACACGATGCTTTGAAATTTTTTGTTATTTAAACATTGAACATTTAAACTGCAATTATAAAAATTAATAATAATTTTTTTGTTTGTAAAGTCTAAGCTAAATTAATTTTTTATTATTATTAGATTTTTTTTTTTTTTTTTCCTACAACTCATCATGAGATGGTGGCTCTTCATCGTCTTGTGAAGGTGGAGTTTGGTCCGCATACAATTTTGAAGTTATTGGATTGACAATAGATTCTAATTCTTCTCGTTTTTCATCAAAATCTTCTTTCATCGCCGAATTTGAATGTTCATTTAACCAATCTTCAACTGACTTGATTGCATCTTTAATAGTTTTCTTGTCCATTTCATTGAGTTTCTTGCCAAGGTCATTATCATCACCAATTTGATTTTTGAGAGAGTATGCAAAGTTTTCAAGTTGATTTCTGGCTTCGATTCGTTCCTTTTGAATCTTATCCTCTTCGGCAAATTGTTCAGCTTCTTCAACCATACGATCGATTTCTTCTTTGGAGAGACGACCTTTATCGTTGGTGATTGTAATCGATTCAGATTTTCCTGTTCCCTTATCAGCCGCAGATACTTTCATTATACCGTTGGCATCAATTTCGAATGTAACCTCAATCTGTGGTATACCTCGTGGTGCAGGCGGTATGCCTGTCAATTCGAACTTGCCAAGCAAGTTGTTATCTTTAGTCATAGATCGTTCACCTTCAAAAACTTGAATTAAAACAGTAGGTTGATTATCCGCGGCGGTTGAGAAAATTTGTGACTTCTTTGTGGGGATTACAGTATTACGAGGAATCAATTTTGTCATTACACCACCGGTCGTTTCAATACCAAGAGTAAGAGGACAAACATCAACCAATAGAACTTCTTTGACATTTTCGTCTCCAGAAAGAATACCACCTTGTACGGCGGCACCATATGCAACAGCTTCATCAGGATTAATATTTTTGGAGGCCTTTTTGCCGTTAAAGAATTCTTCGAGGAGTTGTTGAACTTTGGGAATACGGGTGGAACCACCTACAAGAACAATATCATGTACATCCTTCTTTTCAATATTTGCATCTTTCAACACATTTTCAACAGGTTTTATCGTTTTACGGAAGAGATCGTTGTTTAGTTCTTCAAATTTGGCACGAGTCAAAGTTTCAGAAAAATCTTTTCCATCGTGGAATGATTCGATTTCAATACGAGTTGACATTTGGGAGGATAAAGTACGCTTGGCCTTTTCAACTTCACGCTTTAATTTACCCATGGCTTTTAAATCCGATGTAACATCAACCTTATTCTTCTTTTTATAGACCTTAACAAAGTGATCGATAACCCGGTTGTCGAAATCTTCACCTCCCAAGTGTGTATCACCAGCAGTTGACAAAACCTCAAAAACACCATCATCGATTGACAAGAGAGAGACATCAAAGGTACCACCACCAAGATCATAGACTAGAATTTGACGTTCACCATCGGATTTATCAAGACCATATGCGATAGCAGCGGCTGTGGGTTCATTTACAATACGGAGGACATTAAGACCAGCAATAGTGCCAGCATCCTTTGTGGCTTGTCTTTGAGCGTCATTGAAGTATGCTGGAACCGTAACTACCGCATGTGTGACTTTCTTGCCTAAATATGATTCGGCAATTTCTTTCATTTTACCAAGAACCATGGCCGATATTTCTTCTGGTGTAAATACTTTTTGTTCACCTTTTACGGTGACTTGAATAGCCGGTTTACCGTCCTTGTCAATAACCTTAAATGGAAAGTGTTTCATATCTTGTTGAACTTCTTTGTCGGTAAAGCGACGACCAATCAATCGTTTGGCGTCGAAAATGGTGTTTTGAGGGTTGTTGGCAAACTGATTTTTTGCTGCATCACCGACTAGACGTTCTTCATCGGTAAAGGCAACGTACGAAGGTGTGATACGATTACCCTGGTCATTGGCTAATATTTCAACTCTTCCATTTACGTGAACACCTACACAAGAATAGGTCGTACCTAAATCTATACCAATAACTGTGGTTTATAAAGTTTTTTTTATTAATATTAGCGATTAGAAAATTAGGAGTAAAATCAAACCAAATCGATAATGATGTTGAAAGAACATCCTTCTCAATATTTTCAATATCCCAAATAAATTCAAGAATCACTAACGAATATATACCTGTACCAACATCGGGTCTTTCATCAGCAATTACTATTGCAATAGGAATGGCTATTAACAGTGAACATAACACTGCAATGAATTTGAAGAAAGTTACTTTCTTCATTTTAAATGTGTCCTATGGGAAGGGGTTTATAAAAAAAAGTACCAATCTGAACAATAGAAACGAAAAAAAAAATAAAAAAAAAAAGTTTGGATAAGGGAAATCGGGAAGATTGAAATATAAAATTTGACGATAATAAAAGTCAAGAGAAGACGACCTTTATATAAACGAAAAAATTTTCAAATTAACATACTGTTGGCAATATCTTATTGGATAGAGATTATTTAACGGATTTATTTTTTTGGTTGTCAATTAATTATTGGTCAATCAATGTTAATCAAATATGCGTAAAATGGTAAATGATGTAAGTCGCATTATGTAATACTAATTCATGTAATACTAATTACGTGTCAAAATATGGTTTCTCGATTTTTATTATTTTTTTTTTTTTTTAAAAAAAAAAGTTAAACAATTTCCATTTCATCAACCATTATTTCGCCACGTGTAACAGAATTAACAATTTCACGACGAATTTCTGGCGTTATAAGATTGTGAGATTTCACCTTTAATACATCAAGAAGCGCATTTTTTTGTTCGGGAGTTAAATCTTGTTTATACCTGTAATTTGAAAATACAAATTCATAAGGATAAAAAAATAAATAAAAACAAAATATTTTTAACGAAATATTGTTCGTTAGATACCTCTGAGCAAAAACCAAGAAAGATTGATGCCATAGTACCGGCATGGTTCTTTCATCATTTTTGAACCGCATAAAGTGAAAAACCAGCGCGTCTACCACCTTATAAGGTAACGCGTACTTTTTATCAAGCAATATCCGAATAAATAAACTATTTGATCCCGAATATTCCATCTCAGCGAGTCGTAACAAACCAGCAGAAGAATGAAGCATAGGTATGCTTACTTTTGAGATTACGCTACCAATGATAACCGCCTCTTTTAAAGTGCAAGTACCCGACTATAAATGCAAACATGTTAAATACAATAAATTTAATATGGTTAAGATTCCATTCGTTCATTTCTTACTTCACATAAAGGAAACAAGATTCCTTTAAAAAAGGCAGCTGGTTTATATAAAGCTTTTTTGAGAGCCATATATAAATGGTAATTGAGTTTTTTGTTCTCTTGAATATCATCTCGAACTTTTTCGAGAAGGACGAGATCAAAAAATCTGGTACAATTAAATGATAAAGTATTAAGCATTGTGTTTATATTAAACCGCATTCAATTCATTTTTTTACCTTTGTGTTTGATTTGCCTTAAGATTTGAAACAAAAATTCGGGTGGCCTGAAAAGTCGCATGCGGAGTCCAATTTTCAGGATGTGTAAGGTACAAAATGTCTTCCCAATTGGATAATGATGGGATAATTTTGAAAGCTTTTGGAAGTTTTCCGGACTTATACCGACTTAAAAGGGTGCCGACTCTATCATATTTGCAGGTTTGTTAAGGTATTTATGATGTTTATTATTATCATACAGCTTACATACTCACATACGTACTTTGTATAAACTTCGACGACCTTTGGACTTATAGCTGAGGATTGAGATGCTATAGATCATAAATGTATTTTACTATTAATAACTTTATCGTAGCATAGAATAAAATAAATTCCTGACCTGAAGTAGTATCATCCTTGGCAAATTTTCGTGCTTCGATCTTTTCTATAATCAAATCTGCCAAAGTTTTTCTTTCCTTTGGAGCATTTGGTAAAAACTTCTCTAGAATTACTTGATCGTTTTCATCGATTTCCTATTCAGCATATTTGAGAGATGGATGATATATTTATGTATATTAAATATTTGCAAGATATACATATAAATGATAGTACCAATTCTTCATAATCAAAATTTTCTTCTTCATCAGAATGATCATCTTCTTCACTTTCGTCTTCAATTATTGAAGAAAATAATTGACTTTGATCCTCCTTGCTATTTTACATTTAAAAACTTGTTAATTATTACAAAGGTTAATATACTATGACGACGTCATTCTATCCTTACTTGATTTGACTTTTGTCTAAATTAGACTCTTCTTCAAGCTCTTCCTGTTGCTCTCTTGCAATTGTGAGAATTTTCCGAGAAAGACTCGGTTCAACGTATTCCTAAATAAAGATAAAAAAGTGTTATTTTACTTTTGAAAAAAAAAATGAAGTAAATGGAGGCTTAGTACATCGTCTTTTTCTTGATTTCGTTTTAAAGCTTTTATTTTGAAATTTTTTCTGCCGGGGTTTTTATCTTCTAATATTTGAACGTGTAGAGGATTATGGCGTTCTTTCTTGACAGCTCGTTCCTTTCCCATTTTTTTTTCACAATTTTTTCGACGAAAATTTTTTTCAAAAAAAAACTTTTTGATAAGATCTGGTTTTTGACGTGTAACGTCGACTCGGAGAAAGATGCTGTAATAAAATAGTTTAAAAATTAGCGATTCAAGAATTTCTACTTACCGATAATCTGCATTCATGATCGTAACGTAATGTTTGCTAGAGGGCTTACGACTTTGTACCAGAGATTAGGTACAAAAGTCACGATTCATTTGACCCTTTCGAATCTATTAGCTTCAACACCACCTCAGCAAAAAGTTTGTAACTCGGTTAGTATTTATTTTTTTTAAAAAAAAACTTTTCCTAATATTTCTCGTCTCTTTCATAACAGTTTATATTTTGATGCAGTTTTTGCATTCAAGAACGCTACAACACTTTGTTCTTAAAAAAACTAATACCAGTTCAACGACATTTTATTCGAAAAATGCTGAATGTTGGAAGCGATTCTGGAACCGTGGGCAAACCCAACCTATTTCTAATGTATTTATAGTTTCTATAACAACAAACTTTAACTTTTTGCTTTTTATTATTTTGAACGAATTTTTAATTGAATTTTTCTTCGCACATATTTGTAGCCGACATGGAACATTCGTCAATTAGCTAATAAATCTCAGACAACCCTTTCAAAAGAATTCACAAAACCTACTCAAGCAGTTATTGAAAATACTACCAAAGTAACAAATTCTTCTACGGATTGGAAAATAATTAAAAATCTAATAGGTAAAAATGGCACCTGTAATTAAGAATTAATTATATTCATGGGTGGGATGGGTTTTAACAAGAAAAGGTCCGTCCCAAAAATCGATCAAAATAAAAATTAAATTATATTATAATTTTTCACAATAATATAATAATTCGTAATATATTACAGAGAGGAAAATTTGAGGAATTAAGATTTATTAAAATTCATAATATTAAGGAATTTGAAAAATCAATTAAGGATACCATCTTTTCTAATAGGTTACATATGGCCGAGAGACGACCCAGCTGTCAAAGTTCGTGTGGTTGCCGCCTTATCATTTTTAATCGCAGGAAAAGTATGTGTTGTCTTAACAAGTTAAATATTTGATCAAGGGATTTAATTATATGCTTCAACTAATTTCGTATTACCCTTTTCAATATTTAGTTTCTTAATGTACAAGTTCCCTTTTTTTTTAAAAATATCGTCGATTCTTTAAATGTTGATGTGACTCAATTCGGAACAGTATGGACTATTGTTGGTGCAGTGATAATTGGATGTAAGTGTAAAAAAAAAGGGCTATTTTTTTTTTTTTCATTTCATTTTATTTTTCATACATCAATTCTATTTTCATAGATGGTGCGGCTCGCGTTGGCGCGGCTGTATTTCAGGAATTAAGGAATGCAATCTTCGCAAATGTAGCCCAAAAGGCTATTCGTAAAGTTGCTAGGAATGTGTTCAATCACTTACATCAACTTGATTTAAATTTCCATTTATCTCGTCAAACTGGTGGTTTAAGTAGGGCTATTGATCGTGGAACGAAGTAGGATCGATTGTCCTTAACATTATTCATTATCAAATGCAAACATCATTATTAACCTTTTAATTTCTCGTACATGTTGATACGATAACTAGAGGTATAAGCTTTTTGCTTTCTTCACTTGTTTTTCATGTATTGCCTACCGCTTTGGAGGTTTCCATCGTGTGTGGTATTTTGGTGAATATTTTTTTTTTTTTTCTCCAATTCTTGATTATCTATACTATAATTATAAAAATTGATTATTATTTAGGTCTATAACTTCGGTACTCACTATGCAGCGGTTACAGCGCTTACATTATTAACTTATACTGTCTTCACTATTCAAACTACATCATGGCGGTAACTATTGTTTATTTAAATAATAATGATAATAATAATAGTATATTTAAAGCTTATATTTTTTCATTACAGAACAAAATTTAGAAAAGAGGCAAATCGGGCTGATAATGAAGCTGCTACGGTTGCGGTTGATTCCTTGATTAACTACGAAGCCGTAAAGTATTTTAACAATGAGAAATTTGAAGTGGACCAATATGATAATGCTTTAAAGAAATACGAGAAAGCATCTCTTAAAATTGCGACATCTCTTAGCTTCCTAAATTCGGGTCAAAATGTTATATTTAGTAGTGCATTGACTGCCATGATGTATTTGGCCGCCCAGGGAATTGTTTCAGGTAACATGAAATTTTTAATTTTTATTTTACTTTTTTTTTTAGTTGTATTAGTGCAATACTTGCTAACAACCTATACAATACTTATGACTTTAAGGAAGTCTCACTGTTGGTGATTTGGTAATGGTTAACCAACTCGTATTTCAATTATCTTTTCCTCTCAATTTTCTCGGCTCGGTATATAGGGAACTTCGTCAAAGTTTGATTGATATGGATGTTATGTTCAATTTACAAGGAGTGGAAGTTTCTATTAAGGTATTTTCAGGATAATTGATTTTATTAAAAATTGAGATATGTAAAACAAATATATATATTTTTTTTAACTTATTTACATTTAATTATAGGAATCACCTAACGCAAAACCTTTAATTCTCAAAGGTGGCGAAATAAAGTTTGAAGATGTTGTATTTGGATATCATCCCGATCGTCCAATTTTGAATGGAATAAGTTTTACTATACCTAGAGGAAAGAAAGTTGCGATCGTCGGACCAAGTGGATGTGGGTAGGTCATTTTTTACCCTTTAAGTAATAATATATAGTTAAAGCAACACCATATCTTTTTTCTTATTCGAATTAAGAAGGTGCATTCCTCTTCATTAAAGGAATTAGTTCCTGACCAAAGTAAATGAATGATTCAATTATTGGGTGTTGTTTAGGCTAACTTTATAAATTTTACCGATTTTGTCCATAAATGACGCGTTTTCATTTCCACTTAATATATGTTTTATATTAATTTATTTTTTTGTAGAAAATCAACCTTACTCCGTTTACTTTTCCGTTTTTACGACCCACAAAATGGTAATATATTTATCGACGGACAAAATATTAAAGATGTAAAATTAGATAGCTTAAGAGCGAGCATCGGTGTCGTACCACAGGTAGTGTAATTTATCATATTTGAATGATTTATTAATTAATCAACTAATCTTGGTGTTTTCTCTTTTAGGATACTTCTCTTTTTAACAATACGATTTATCATAACATTGCTTATGGTCAATTAACTGCCGATCGTGACAAGGTTGAATCCGCAGCTAAACGTGCACGTATACATGATGTTATTATGTCATTGCCAAACAAATATGAAACACGAGTAGGTGAACGTGGATTGATGATCTCCGGTGGCGAAAAGCAGAGAGTTGCGCTAGCCAGAACGATTTTGAAAGATCCTCCAATAATATTCTTTGATGAGGCAACATCCGCTTTGGATACGCACACCGAACAGTCACTCCTATCTAATATCCGAAGCCTCCTTCAGGGAAGTAACAAAACCAGCATGTTTGTCGCACATCGCTTAAGATCTATTGCGGATGCTGGTATGTAACCTTCAAAATACACAAAAGATGCATGCATACATATATAATTTTGCTAATTAAATGTAATAATAATGATTATTTATTTTATATTTTAATATCAAGATGAGATAATCGTATTAAGGGATGGAGTTATAATTGAACAAGGAACACATGATCTTCTTGTACAAAAAGAAGATGGAATCTATCGAGATATGTGGTTCACACAAGAAATGTCCGATCCCGCTTTTGAGGAAGAGGAGGAGGAATTTCAATTAAGTTAATTGAATACTAATTACAAAAAATAATAATTTTTGTAATAATAAATTTTTTTTTTTTTATTATCAGTAATTTATTATTATGTAAATATTTTCTTGTAACAAAAAAAAAAAATAACATAATATACAAAGATCTAAATTATGTCCGATTATAATAAGTAAGGTTTCGCGTTAATTTTTCTCTCCATTTTAAAAATTTCCAAACTATTAAAATATAAATGACCATGATCTCAGCTCTCACAGCGATCCAACGCCAATTCATGACATTTCTCCAATCTTTGATCAATGAATCTAATTTCCATAACCAATTGTTTTTATTTCCCCACCTTCCTTGAATTGCCTTTTCTTTTTCTAAAAATTCCTTTTGAATAACTTTAAATATAATTTCTCCACGACATATCGGACAAGTAGGAACTGGTCTTAATAAACTTGCATTGGTCAACCTCAGATTTAAATTTTGCAACGCTAAACGAGATACAAAACCCGTATTTCCCATTGTATACCATTTAAGCATACAATTTCGATGTGCCACATGATGAGGAACTTTACAATAATTTTCTAATGTACTCTCACATAAATCATCATCATCATCCTGATCAGAATAGTATGAAGATGATCCGTCCCCGATTCCAATTCCATAACAGACACAACAATCATCATCTTTTGTACCTTCCAAAACTGGTCGTCCTTTGATAATTAAACACATGGAATTATGAACACGCATAAAGTGCCTTAAAGTAAAAAAGTGAATAAACTCTTCTATGAGAAAAGTTGGTAAATAGCTCCAAAGTAATGCGGGCATTAAAGCAACAAGTGATGGAAGTGGAGTAGTATGTGGAGAAGGAAGAGACTATGATGAGAATGTAAAATAATTTTTTAATTAATTGGAAAAGTAACGAAATGATACTTACCTAATATAAAGGTCAATTTTAAACATTTAATTCAAAAATTCTTTACCTTAAACTTCAGCCATCGTAAAAGTACGTATACAATCTGAAATGATAAATATCATACACACAATGTGATAATAGTCGAATAATTTATAACCCAAATAAATCACTTAATATTTATTTATTTTGATTATCAAAATTTCACATTAATAATTATGACCACAAAAAAAAAAAAGTAAAAAAATAAAAAAATAAAAATGCATGACCTCCGATAACGGATTATGTTATTTGAAAAATGAAAGAAAAAGGAAAAGAAAAAAAAAAAGACCATAAAATTTATCCTACCAACATATGCCAGCATGCCAAAATTTTTTTTTCATCATCAGCAAGTCTTTTACGAAATATCAAAGGCATACCATTACGCGTATTGTAAAGCATTAAGTATGCTATTTATCAAAAAAAAAAAAAAAATGTTAGAACAAAGTAAATTAAATAAAGAATTTTTCCTCATAAATACCTTTAGTCCATGAACTACAAGCCCAGGAGATGGATATAATAAACTTAACATATTCAGATGGAAATCTGAGAGAGGAGAACATTGAATTTTTCAGGTAAAGATCTCGTCCCGAAATAATTTATTTGGATCAGATGTTTGAACTTATGGCACGTGATACCAATTAAACATTTGATGATATACTGCGGATGGTGATTTAAAAAAAGCGCGAGTAATCCTGATATTCTTCTTAGTTTTGCAACAATGTCTAGTTCAAAAACAAAGAAACTCACTGATCAGGGTATGCTTTCTAATTCCATTTATGATAATCAGATTGCTCTCTTTTACCATTTTATAAGTTCTTTACTGAGACAATTTTTATAAAACAGAAATAACAACCCAATTTAATGCAATGAAAACAGAGCTACAGAACATAGCTCAAAAAATTGGAGAGTTAGAATCCGAATCTGACGAACATAAGTAAGAATGATTTTTTCTTAAGGAAACTTTCCTGTTAATAATACATCTATGTTTGAATTCATACGCGTGTAATATTTTTATTTAATTCGGGACATCCGCACTTTAATGAATTGCATAGGGCAGTTATAGATACATTATCACCTTTGAATGATGATCGAAAATGTTTCCGTTTGGTCAATGGAGTATTACTCGAACGCACTGTGAAAGATGTGTTACCAGCTTTGCAAACAAATTATGATGGGGTAATTTGATACATAAATATATATATATATTAAATTTCTATGATGACAAGATTTTAACCTTTAAATATTATTTATTTGAAATAGATTAAGGGCATTATGGATAATCTTGTTCGTTCTTACAAAACCAAGGAAGATGAATTTATCGCATTCCAAAAAGAACATAACATCAAAGTAATTTCGAGATCATAACAAAATCCAAATTATTATATCGCAATTTTTTTCCTTAATTTTACAGGAAAAATATATTTAATAAGATCAGAGTAATAAATAAAAATATATTCTAAGAATGAAAAAGATATATATATATATATATATAAAAATACATTTATAAATTAAATTTAGCCAGTTATCTCCATAATTCTTGCTCTAGATTTATCGGCCAATAGTTTGGCAGTTTTAGCCGTAACTATTATAGGTAGAATATAAATGGTGTAAATCAAAGAAACTACGACCGAAAATATAATTGTAATATCTTCATAAACCGTTACAACTAAACAAAAGAAAAAAAAAAAAAGATGCATGAATTAAATAAAAATGAAAAAGTGAATATTTTAATGATATAAATTATAAAAAACTGACCCCTATTACAAATTATACTTGGAAGAGAGTTAATTGGGAGGTTTCTTGAATCATAGAATAAAGATACTCTAGTCTTTTTAACAAAGCCCATATGTTTTCAAAATTTAGATTAAATAACATCCCATATAATAAAGCCAAGATCAAAAAATTTGCCAATGTAAACATAAAACTTTCATTGGATATGTTATTCGTATTTAACTGACTCACCTTTTGTTGTTGCTTCCTGTTATAATATAAAAGAAATTTTAATAGAGGAATTATAAAAATTTTATAAATAATTTACATATATACTCACGAATGTTTATCTTCAAGGCTGTTTTTTAAGTTTTTAATTTCTAATTCTTGTGATGAAAATTTGCCAGTTAATTCACGCATCAATTCTTCAACTTTAGCTATATGATCATGTTGAAGTTGTTGCACATTTTTCATCGATTCAAAAGAGGTTAAACTAGATAATTTAGAAGATTGGGTTTTGATAGTTTCATTTAAGCTGGCATTTAAGGTGAGTAAAGAATTATTGGCAATTTTAAGATCAAGAAGCTTTTATTGGATAAAGTAAGCAAAGTTAATCTCTGAATAAACAAATAAATATAAAAATTCATTAAGAATATAAATAAATAAATATATATATATATACCTTTCTTCGAACTTTTGGATCTGGATCTGAACACATACTTTCGGGCACTTTCTTCCTTACGTTCATATTTAGCTTATCATTTTAATTTTGTCGATCGCTACTTTATTGAGTAAAATTTTTTTTGCGGCAAAGATAAAATTTAAAAATCGATCATTTCTATTTGTAATATCTCTGATGCAAGTTGGATACGCGCTTTGCGATTCATTTCGGATTTACAAAAAAGATAGAGTAATTTATTTCTTGAATAAATACATGTTGTGCGTAATGTATTTAACAACTTTTTTATTAAATGTTATTTATTCAAATAAAAATTTAGATGAAAATTTAACCATCAATGGCAAAAAATGGAGGTTGCCTTTCAGAGAAAAGCTATGTCATGAATTTTAACATAATATCTTGGTGTCCCTTCACCAATCCGTAGACCCGATTTCTTAAAGACACAAGAATATCCAAATGAACTAGAGCTCGATATATTTTATCCACAATATAGCTTTGCAATCGAAGTACAAGGCGTACAACACGAAAAATATCATGAGTTCTTTCACGGAGGAGGTCCCAATAATTTTATCAAACAGAAAGCATGGGATCAAATCAAAAAAGATTTATGCGAAAAAAACTGGATTACCCTAAGATATATTTGGTATTATGTAGTTATTCCATAGTATCTTCGAGAATTGGATCTCATTAAACTTTAAATGCTTTATGACCGTTACATACACATTTTTTTTATCTTCTGATATATACATACCCAAACACCAGACTTTTTAGAAATTATGTATATTTGCAGATTTAAATTTAGCTATTCCGCTCATTGTAATTGTGGTATTTGGCCTGAAATCCAAACTTTTGAATAAATTATGCTAGGCCAAAATTATCAAATTAATTTATAATTTTAAAAAGAATTTATTTAATACTCCGAAATTGTAAAAATTTTATTAATAAAACCAATCTAATTATATCTTATTAATTTATACTGTTAAACAAAATAAAATTTAACATGATAGATTCTTTAGATAATTGATATCTTTTATCACTTAAATATTTTTGTAAATAGAAAAGCTACTACATCTGAAACTGGAAGCCAAATATAAATTAATGCTATATTAACTAATGTTTAGTAAAATATTTTTTTTTCTATCCAATATTTTTATCAAAATCCTCTTCGGATTCTTAATTAACCGTTAATTTCCCAAATTATAGTTACATAAAAATTTTTAATATGTTTGGACATCGTAATTAGAGGTTAGAACCGGTTATCGATATCGGATTTATAACCGGTTTTAATCAGTTCAGATTATAACCGGTTTTATCGTTTTTTATTCTGCCGATCTGGTAACCAAATGTAGCAAAACTCATAAACTTATTAGTTAAGTCGGCAAGTACATGATACGTCAGAATGGGGAAGGAGGTTTTGCTTTTTATGAACATATCCGCCTGGGCAAATTTTGTAATTTGTATTACAGAGTACCGGAAATATTAAATCTAGATAATCTAAAAAAAAAAATGTCGTCTTTACATTCAGTTTCAGATACTGATGATGATCCTAACAATACACATTCTACACGAAAAAAACGAAAATCTAATGTAGCAACCAATTGTAGTAATTAAAGTCATACCTTTTTTTTTCGAATTGATGATGATAACTCTGAATTAGCATATTGTAAAATATGTAAGCTAAATTTTACAGGAACTAATAAAAAGCTTATGCATATACTCACTCGTAAAGGTGAAAACACAACAAGTATGATAAACCATTTACAAGAAAGGCATAACATAACCAGAAATAATTATACTCAATACTTGGATGAACATAACGAGGTAAAATTAAATTATTGAATTTAATAAGCGGTTATTTATAATTGTATTTTTTAAGAACTTAGCTGGTAACGTTCTTATTAGCCAAAATGCGATCAAACCCAAGTTACCGATTATTACAATAATACAAATAATGCGGCACCATCATGTTCAGCCAAAAGACAAGAGTTTTTAGCAAGGAAATTAATCCAATTTATCATTTATTTTATCTTACCCCTTTATATCTTACAAAATTGATATTTTCGTGAGTTTGTTTATGTATGTGAACCAGGATTTCGTATTCCATGTATTAAAACTGCCAAGGAATTAATATATGAAACATATAACTGAAGTTATGACCAACTTAGCTCCTTACTTCGTAGTAGTGTAACGAGCATCCATTTGACTACTGATTTATGGACTGCGAAATTCTGACATAGTTACTTAGGCGTAATAGTAACCTGACTTTCCTCTGATTTTAAGTTTTGAGAAGCTCTTCTTTCATGCAAATATCTTCTATATCCACAAGCTGGAGAAGTAATTAACGAAGAGTTATTTCGAATAATTTGCGAATGGTGTCTTGAAACAACGGTTTTTACTATTGCCACAGACAATGGTGCTAACATAGTCAAGGAAATACGATTATTAAATAATAATTACATTAGCAGTGTAAAACGTCAATCGTGTGCAATATATATATTACAATTATCAGTCCAAGAAGAATTGAAGCAATGTAAAGCTGTACATCGCCATATCAAAAGCTTGTAGGCTTTTTTTCAACTTCCTAAGCAAGCCTAACGTTTGTGTGAGACGCAAGGTGAATCTGATCAATCTGAAGGAAATACTGTTCAAAGTCCTCTTGATCTTTTAACAGACGTAAGAACCAGGTGAAATTCTACCTATCTGGTTTGAAAACATGTTTTAGAGTTGTATAATTATATAAGATATGTTTCAACTTTTTTACTTTCTGAATCAGATCGCATTTCCCAAAAAGAAGGTGAAAAGTTAGAACGCCTTTGCTTATCAGTTGCGGAAAAAGAGTAATTATTTTTCTTTAACTTTTACTTGTTTATATTTTCTATTTTTATTAATTTTTTTATTTACATTAATAGATTTTTACAAGAAGTTGTAAAGTTATTGGAGCTGATTGAAATTGTAACCTGACATTTGTGTAGTGTAAACTATCCAACGCTTAATCTTATTCACTCATATATGAAGTCTCTTAAAAAAAAGTTTGTTTCGAGATCAGATAAAAATGAGACGGTCAATTCCTATCTAAATCTCATCTATGGAAAAGGCTATGAAAAGAATGATGATGAAATATCTGATGATGATATACCTACTGCTGGTACTCGTCAACAATGACAACATGCTCATCGACAGTTTAATCAAAGGATGAGTATCCGTGGCCGAGAACTCAACAGGGACCAGCTAAAAAATGAACACGAATTGAAAGCATTGTAGAAAATACAGACAAGGTGGAATATATACCACTGGTTGATACTACTGGATTGCTTGAAAGGTTCGAACTGCAATTTATCTTTCATTAGATGAATTATGGTCTGTTCCGTCTGATAATGCCTTAATTGCCACGTTTCTTGATCTAAGATTTAAATATTTTAATTGGGCAGCTAATGGTGAACGAGATAAGGCATATCAATTAGTAAAAACTTTATATGATACATTGAAAGTAAATCTTTATATTTCAGATGATATTGAAGATAGGAATCAAGATGATGATGATGGTGACTTTTTTCGCGAACTTGAAGGTGATGATACACAAACAAATACAGATGATGATGACGAAGTATTACGCTATGCAAAATTAGGGAATATTAAGGTTAAAGAAGACACATTAATTTGGTGGGTAAATCATAGAGATAGTTTTCCTACTTTACTACAGCTTGCAAGAAAATATCTTTCAATTCCAGCAACTTCAGTGCCAAGCAAACGATTGTTTTTTGATGCTGGTAATCATATTTCTGCGAAAAGAATCCGTTTAGCACCTGACTTAGTAAATAAAATTTTATTTTTAAAACATAACAGCACCCATTTCAAAATGTTTCCACTACAAGAAAGTTAATAATTTTGTTTTAATAATCAATAGTTTACTTAATACTTTTAATAATAATTAAACAACTAATGCTAGTAACAATGCTTTTATTGAATAAATAATAATAATATAATTAATGCAGATTTAAAAAAGTTTAATATTTAATATTAATAAAGTAAGCATTTTTACACCCGTTTTCATGAGACCCGCCCGTCAGGTTCGCTATTCTAGTATGCAACTTCCAACAAAAATTCAGTGGACCGGCGGGCTCAAAAATTTATTTAATCCCGGATCTTATTTTATCAGTTTATCAATTATCGGTTCTAATCAGTTTATCGGTTATTGGTTCTTACCGGCTTATCAGTTTATCGGTTTAAACCGGTTTATATGCGGTTTCAATTTTCAGGATGCAAATAAAACAGGTTTGTAAAATCAAAACCAGTTCCAACCTCTAATCGTAACCAATCAGATATTGGATATTTTTGCTATGAATAATCTAACCAAGCAGTCACAGGGTTAACAATTTTTAACTCGCGTTTACATATAAATATCCTATACATATTCCTTTATTCACCCATTCTCCCTTTAAATGATTAATAAAGATGAGACTTAGAAAGGATATTAGAGAAAACTTGAAAGAGTCTGGTAAATATGAATCTATAGGTGCAGTACTGAAATGTATGTTTTCACTAACCTCTTTATAATGTTTGAAGATTATTGGCAAAACGTCACCAAACCAAGTTTAATTAATTTCTTGAAATATCGCGAAACTAAAGTTCATGAAAAGCTTGATAGAAATAATGAAATACTTCAGTATAAACAAGATTTAAAGAAGATAGAAACGCATTATAAATACGGAAGTAATGCAAAGATCGCAAAAGTCGCTAAGCTTAAAATAAAGGTGCGTATTAAAGAAACCTAATAAGTCTTTATGGAAATATATGTATAGCACTTTGTTAAATACTGTACACTTTACGGGAAAGGCTGCGGCTTGTCAATGAGCGTATGTTCAGTGTTTGGAAAAAGTTTTTTTGAATATCCTATTTGGGAGTAGAAAATTGCTATGCATCTTTCCAAACAGTCAAAGAAATTTGACCTAACATCTGTTCATGCGGACGTTTATGTTACCCTCTAACATGCTTCAAGAGGCCTAATAGCAAGCGTTGTGTTAAACTACATTTTTCAAATTGATCTTATCAATACATTCTTGGCTGTACCACTTTTTTTCTTTTTTTAGGATGAATTAATATCATCTGAAGTGAATGACTTCTGGAGATCGCAAGAAATTCAGAACGAGATTGAAATAGAACATCAAAATGATAACTTAGATAAGGTATATCTTAAGATCTGATCGTTTGGCTGTACCGTATTGTACTTACTTTTTTTCTTTTTTTTTAGGATGAATTAATATCATCTGAAGTGAATGACTTTCGGAGAACGCTAGAAGTCGAAATAGAACAGCAGACCGATGAATCAGATAATGTATATCTTAAGATCTGATATATTTATACATGTATTCTTCTGAATCTTCCATTTAGCCGTACCTACTTTTTTAGGATGAATTAATATCCTCTGAAGCGAATGACTTCCGGAGAACGCAAGAAGTTCAAAGCGAGATTGAAATAGAACAGCAAATTGATGACTTAGATAAGGTATAACTTAAGATCGGATATATTTATACATGTATTTTCCCGTCTAATATTTTTACAATTGTATCTTTAGATAAAGATCTATGGAATTCTCAAAAAAGAAATTCTGATTGAACGTAATATTAAAAGCATCATTAATGCTTTTGAACTTTATAAGGATAACAGTAATGATAATAATGTATCATAGAAGGAATAATGGACCTTACTCCTAAAAGTCATTTCATTTAGCAACTTCCCTTAGATGTATATCAAAGTTTTCTTGAATCATTAAATCAATATGATAAATTAATCCCAGATGAAACATACAAGTTTCTGGTTGATTTTTTTTCACAAGTAAGGATAAATTGTATTATAAGCGGTTTTAATTGCAATCATCTCCTAATATGCTTATGTGGTTTTTTTTTTTGATAATAAGAAATTAACTTATAAGCAGTGGTCAAAAGCCATAGATAATTTGAATATTAAAGAACACAGAGAAGAGACCACTAGAATGATAATAAAAATGATTACTAAATCACTCGATAATTTGTATGTGTGTATGTTCAAATTTATCTTGATGTTTATTTTTTTCTTTTGCTTATTTTATTTTTATCTTTAGCTTGCAAGCTTTCGCATTAGAACATATGAATCCACTCCATAATATAGAAGCTCTAGAACAACCTCATCTCAATGACTATATACACCCATGTATAAAGTCAGCTTTATGGAGTTGTACTGAAATATATTATACTTCGTAAGTTATTTTTCTTTAAATATTATGTAATGTATCAAAATATCATTTCATTTATTTTGCCAAACGTAAATAGCGGCGAAATTTCATCAATAAATCATATCAACCGTCAAAAGGGAGATGGTGTTGGCTTTACGATCGACTCCAACAAATATCAGTTAGTTTTCATTGATAGTTCACGCTCTATAAAGTTAAAGCAAGAAAAGAACTTGATGATAGAATTAAAATAATCAAGAACCTCGAAAATATGTTACTAAACATTGTTAAAGATCGAGTGAAGAAAAGGAAATTAATAATACCAGATATGGAAGTTTTTGGTGTTATTAGCATAGAACTTAACCTACATTTGTATGCTCTTAGTTTTACCGGTAGGTACCCTTTGTTTTCATTATAAATTGTTGTGTTGTGAAATAAAGACTTATATTGTATTATGGATAGATTATTATTATATCAAAGAAATTGACAATGCCACAATTTCAAGAGATTTCTCAGAAATGGAAGAATTTATTTTTTTTTACGAGTCAATTTTAAAATGGGCTGTGAGTATTAAATTTGAGTTTTGCATACTATTAATATTATTATATAATCTCTGTTCCTAATTTATTGCCGTTAATAGCTTTCGGTAAAAAATTGCTTTGAAAAATTATTGTGCGGTCAGGACACGTGACTATGGCGTAATAGACAACTTTTGATAATATAATCCAACTTAAGTTTGAATTAGTCGACTAATATTAACACATTCTATTACATATTCCTATATTGTTTGGTGAAGTTAAAATAAACTTCTTATCCATCAAGTTAAAGAAGGCCGAAGTTTACTTAATAATTAGGATGATAATAATAAAGCTTGTTCTATTGATATTTACATTCTTTTATTATATTTAGATTGGAATATAGTAATTATTTCTCAATAAAAGATCATATAACAATATTATAGAGAAAGTGTTAAATATATTTAACATTTATTAAACTTTTAAGAATATTATATTCTAGGTTATAAGAATGTTAGATTTTAAAAGTAATAAATTTTCTTTTAGCATATTGATTTATTTTGAGCTTAACATATTAGATACTTTTTTTTATATTAATTCAAAAATTTCTATATTTCTATATTATAATTTTTGAAAAATAAGATTTTATTTAGAATCTTTAATAAATTTATAAGTCAAAAACTTTAATTGACGATCTGGATAAGATCGGTATCATGTGACTATATACGTAATAGTGAAATTTGGGGATAATTAGCATTATAAAATCAGCATTTCTGAATCTGACATGTGCGACTAATATTCATACCAAAACACTGCTCAATTACAGTTAGTCTAGTTGATCTAGTTGAAGAATTTCACACTATGGTCCATATTCTTGTTATTGGTGAAAAACATCAACAGACAAAGAAAATGCCACTCTTCGTGTTGGTCAAAAAACCAAAACTTGTCTTAATAATCGTGATTTTTTTGTAACTATTGTTGTTGACAATAAAGTAATGATCCTTCTAAAGCTATTTCTTTAGTATATGCACAAATTTTTGAAAATAGAACGTGTTTTTCAAGTCCTTTAGTATTAGGATAGCAAGATGATGATATCATTTATCAACTTTTAAAAGATATCTCATTTGTCTCTATTTCAATTTTATTGATTTACTAAAAATATTTATATATGAAATAAGAATTTCTACATAATCCCAATGCCTTTGTAAATCATGCCCTTATTCTCAAATAAAAACTTTTGGCATTAACATAAGTTACATATTCTTCTACTTAGCCAATATCTTCAGAAATATAATTATAAGGTATATAAAAGGGCAGTATAATAAAAATTAGGATATTTATTGCTTTATAATCATTTATTTTGTTTACATAATATACTATTAACATTTCATTATGTCTTCTTCTGAAATATTCAACAAAATTCTTAATTTTTTACATAATTCACCTTC